ACTATAGTGTTCTTAACTATAAAAGAGGAAGTAGACTATACACTTACTATTAAGCTACACAAGAAAAGGATTATTACTACGCCTAGTAAACCTTTTAAAGAATCTAATAAGGCAAAGGTAAAAGCCTTTGTTAACTATAGTATATTTTATATTATTACCTATAACAAGAAATCCTATAGTAACACCTATATATTTAAATTATATATAGTCTATAAAATAAAAGGCAAAAATAAATAGCCTTATAAGAAATTATAGCTTATTATCTAAGGCTATATAAATAATAGTAAAGAAATAATTCTTATATAGTTACCTACTATCTAGTAAATAGCCTAGTAATTAATACTTACTTTTGCCCCTTTACTACTTTAATATAGATTTCTCCTCTAGTTATATAATATTACCTAGGCGTATACCTAATTAGTAACACTATTAAATTATATTATTCTTGCCTACTTGCCTATATAAATTTACTATCTTTACCTAGTAAATATAATAATAATAGTAACTAAGCTATTATATAGTATTATAGAGGCAGAAACCTACTAGTAGGTAACTTATAACTACTATTATAAAGAGAATCTCTAGATAGATTTATTAACCTTTAACCTTTACTTATTAATATTATTACTTAATAATAGTAACTTTAGATTAATTAGTATATAAATAGATAATATAATTAGCCTTATAAATAGTAAATTCTCTACCTATAAAGAGAAAAAGCTTAAGAAGGCTATATTTATAGTAAAACCTAAGTAGTTACTTATAGCTAATAACTTTATTACCTTTAATAGTAGTATATTATTTATTACTACTAATAGTAAGCTTACCTTTTACTAAAAAGGCTAAGGTAAAAAGCTCTAACTTATTAATAAGAAATTACCTACTACCTAGTAAGATTACGTTTAGTAATACACCTATAGTGTATATATTACTTCTATTTACTAACCTAAAGCCTACTTTAACTATTTAGTTACTGCCTAACACTAATTACCTATAGCAAAAGAAATTAAAGCTCTAAACTACTAAATTAAATAGTAAATTAATAACCTTAACTATAGCCTATAATTCTTACTAATTAACCTTATAACTACTAAGCTCTTTATATTTATTAATAGCTTATTTATAAATAACTATAACTTTACCTCCTAACTTAGCTTTATTATAGTCTTTACTAATAAATAAATTATTAAGTAACCTACTACTAACAGTAAAAGCTTTAAATTAGCTAGTAATATTATCTACTTTAGCTTAATAAAGTATAAAAAAGTTATATATAGTATACTTGCCTCTAAGGTCTATAGGATAGTTACTAGCGCTAACGTTGCCTATATAATTAGTACTACTTTATAATAATTACTAACTGCCTTAAGCTACTATAAATACTTATAATACTTTATATTAACTTATACTTACTTTATAAGTGCCTTATAAAACTTAGCACTATAAAGGAGAAGTAACTTATAATAGATATTATAGCCCTTTACTAGTTATATAAACACTACAAGATTTTAAGATACAGTAGATTTATAGTAGTAATAACCTAGTAGATAGATTTATAAAGTTATTACTAAATAATATATTAAAGAAGCTAGTTAATAATAGGTAGTTAAAGATATAGATAAATAGATAGGTTTCTTGTATATAATAGGCTATATAAGTAAAAAGTATTAAATACTTTTTAGCTTCTTGTTTTTTATTATATTTTTTAGCTATTCTTTTAGATATAAATAATAGGGGATTTTTAGCACTATAGAAAGTTACTAGTGTTATAATATTAACTATTATAGATAAATATTAGAGTTATTAGGTTAACCCTAATAACTTATTACTAGTAAATCCTTAGATATTTAGCTATAGATTCTCTAAGGATTTATAGGTAATAAGTTAGTTATTTAACTAACTAACCTATAATAATTATCCTTTTTTCTTTATATATAATAGAGAACTATAGTTACCCCTATTATTTATTAATTACTACTAATATATATAGTTAACTATATTAACCTATCCCTTAGTGTTACTAATAAATACTACTAAACTATATTATTTTTATCTACCTACCTATATAAATTTATTATTTTTACTTAGTAAATATAATAATAATAGTAACTAAGCTACTATATAGTATTATAGAGGTAGAAACCTACTAGTAGGTAACTTATAACTACTATTATAAAGAGAATCTCTAGATAGATTTATTAACCTTTAACCTTTGCTTATTAATATTATTACCTAATAATAGTAACTTTAGATTAATTAGTATATAAATAGATAATATAATTAGCCTTATAGATAGTAAATTCTCTACTTATAAAGAAAAAGAGCTTAAGAAGACTACTTTTATAGTAAAACCTAAGTAGTTACTTATAGCTAATAACTTTATTACTTTTAATAGTAGTATATTATCTATTACTACTAATAGTAAGCTTACCCTTTACTAGAAAGGCTAAGGCAAAAAGCTTTAACTTATTAATAAGAAATTACTTACTGCCTAGTAAGATTATGTCTAGTAATATACCTATAGTATATATATTACTTTTATCTATTAACCTAAAGCTTACTTTAACTATTTAGTTACTACTTAACACTAATTACCTATAGTAGAGGAAATTAAAGCTTTAAACTACTAAATTAAATAGTAAATTAATAACCTTAACTATAGCCTATAATTCTTACTAATTAACCTTATAACTACTAAGCTCTTTATATTTATTAATAGCTTATTTATAAACAACTATAACTTTATTTTTTAACTTAGCTTTATTATAGTTCTTACTAATAAATAAATTATTAAGTAACTTACTACTAACAGTAAAAGCTTTAAATTAACTAGTAATATTATTTACTTTAGCTTAATAAAGTATAAGAAAGTTATATATAGTATACTTACCTCTAAGGTCTATAAGATAGTTACTAGTGCTAATGTTACCTATATAATTAGTACTACTCTTATAATAATTACTAACTACCTTAAGCTACTATAAATACCTATAATACTTTATACTAACTTATACTTACTTTATAAGTGCCTTATAAAGCTTAGTACTATAAAAGAGAAGTAACTTATAATAGATATTATAGCCTTTTACTAGTTATATAAATACTATAAGATTTATAAGATACAGTAGATTTATAGTAGTAATAACCTAGTAAATAAATTTATAAAGTTATTACTAAATAATATATTAGAGAAGCTAGTTAGTAATAGGTAGTTAAAGATATAGATAAATAAATAGGTTTTTTATATATAATAGACTATATAAGCAAAAAGTATTAAATACTTTTTAGCTTTTTATTTTTATTATGTTTTTTAGCTATTCTTTTAAATATAAATAATAGGGGATTTCTAGTACTATAGAAAGTTACTAGTGTTATAATATTAACTATTATAGATAAATATTAGAGTTATTAGGTTAACCCTAATGACTTATTACTAATAAATCCTTAGATATTTAGCTATAGATTCTCTGAGGATTTGTGGGCAATAAGTTGGTTATTTAACTAACTAACCTACGATAATTACCCTTCTTTTCTTCACGTATAATAGAGAACCATAGTTACCCCTATTATTTGTTAATTGCCACCGATATGTATGGTTAACTGTATTAACCTATCCCTTGGTGTTACCAACAGCATCATTGATGAGACCAATCCCTTATATTATGGGCAGTACGCCGGAATTGGCTCCGCGCTCAACACAATCCAGCTCGTTGAGTCTGCCGATTGTGTGCTTTGGCTGGGTAATCTTCCTTCAGACTTCAACACGTAAGTATCCTTTGCTACATGAATCACGCTCGACAAGTAGATTGCTGAATCTATCGTTAGAGGGATGTTCTCTGAGCATCTGAGTGACTTAGTTACTGTGATTGATTTCCAGCGATTCTTCGTCAAGGTGAGAATAAAAATCTTCTACTTTACGTTCAATGGCTCACAAAGCACGCATGAGCTGACCTGAAACTAGATCGGCGAGGCAACATACGAAGCCAAAATCACTCAACTTCTCCCTAGGCTTGCTGAGGCCGTCAAGAGCAAATTGCATCTGCAGCATCGAGGGGTTGAGGCCCAATCATCAAAGCGATCTAAGCTTCCGCAGCCAGCTACCATCGAACAGGACTGGCTTTGGGATGTACGTCCTACTTTTCTTTGCTTTTCATCATACTTTTTATCCTCCGTAAAGATACTCCAAAGCCTATCGATAAACTAATCGCCTTTTTGAACAGCGCTTCTCATCCTTCCTTCAGCCAGGAGATCTTGTCGTCACTGAGACTGGTACCGCTCAAATCGGCTTCGCGCAGACTACTCTACCCACTGGCTCCCACTCCTGGACTCAGGCCGTTTAATGCAGCATTGGCTATACGGCCGGCGCCGCAGCCGGCGCGTCAGTCGCCGCCAAGGAGATGGGCACGTACAAACGGATGGTGCTGATCACGGGAGAGGGCAGCCTTCAGCTGAAGGTGCAGGCCTTTGCCATCCTGAATCGATACGGCATCCCGCCTACTGTGTAAGTCAATCGCACTCAGTCTGGTCGAAGTGGAGCCTTAGGCGATTGAGAAAGGTATGAGCCGTGGCTAATGAATACAACACAAAGCTTCATCCTGAACAACGACGGATACACCGTCGAACGCTACTTCAACGGCATGGATGCCGCGTACAATCAAGTGCCTAAGTGGGACTATTGTGCGCTCTTCAAGACCTTCGCTCCTGGTCTAGAAATCAAAACCTTCAGGGTCAAAGGCTCTATGGAGCTAGATGCATTGCTGTCGAACAAGGAATTTCAGACTGCCATGTACCCGCAGGTAAGGTGCCATGCCATCGTATTACACATCACACCAGCTTGGAATAGAAAGTAATAAGACTAACCGCGCTTTTTTTGCAACCGTGCGTTGAGATGATTATGGACGCAAAAGACCTACCTACTACGTTGCGAGACGTATTTAGGGTAAAGGCGAAGGAGGTCAAAACTGCTACTAGGCCGCAGTGAGGCTTAAAGACTATGTTACTTGCCGTAGCTGACGTGAGAGATCTTTTTGATGAGAGCTATATGGAGGAGTAGGCAACTTATACCATACTACTCCTTTCCGATACCCAGGTCTGCACAAAGCAATAGACTGGTTGATATACCGGGACCCTTTTCCCTTTCTATTGTGTATGATATTGATGAGAAGAGTCAATTTTGATAGGTGGACCAGCACAATGTACTTTGGCTATGAAGTGAGAGGAGAGGTTGGCTTTTGGATTTTGGAAACACGCAAAGAGACCGACAAGCTAGTCCACCGTTATACCCAACACGACCGCAAGTGTGTCTTTAAGCTCCCGCGCCGATCTATCCTCTTCTTCCTTCAGGTCTTCCTCAAATCCGCCACCGTAGCCAAAGTATTGCCTGATGCTGCTCAGATAAAAGACGCAGTCCAACATGAACAGAGACCATCTGGACCGCAGCATCTTCCATGTGGGCTCTCGCCCACTAGCTTCCACCGAACGCATGGCCGCGAGCCCGATGAGTTTGATGCGATTGACCGGCGAGCCGAGGAAGCGGTTGCTGCCTTGCACCAGGCCGAGGTTTCGCTCCAGGAAGACCAGCTCCGGCGGCCACAGCCCATCGCTTCCGAAGTAACCAGCAGCTTCGGCAATCATGCGCTCCTCGCGCTCCTCCGGCGTCTCATCGCTACGCGTCTTGTCGAGCTTCTTGGATCTCATGGTGAAAGCATCGGCCCACGGTTCCGGATCCTGCATGCCCCAGGCTTTTGAAACACTGGTCAGGGTCTCGGTGTCCTGCGTGAGGAGGCCCTTCCAAAACCGGGCGTACTGTAGCCGCAGGTTGTCGTCGAGAGTGATGTAGAGACCGTGGTCGAGGAGAACGATCTGGGGCTTGCCCGATGGTGTGCGCCGCACAAAAATGTTACCAGGGTGGGGATCACAATGAACGAATCCGTAACGGAACATCTGGGCCGAGAAGAGCTCGATGACAGTTTCCATGACGTCGCCCAGTTTGAGACCCAAGCCGCCGCCCGTCGGCGTGTAAGGCGCCGATATACCCTCTTTATCCCACAGATTTAGGCCGTTGATCCATTCTGTCGTCAGCACGCGCTTCGAACTCAGCTCGTGGTAGACTTTGGGGATGTGGACATGGTCGCGGAGCCGTGGGTCATTGCGGATGAAGCTCGCAAGGCGCTCTGCGTTGGATCTTTCATGCTCAAAGTCGGTCTCTTCCATGACGTGGTTGACGAGGAAATCCCCGAGCGATTGCATGGGAATATCAGTTGCTTCCGCGGTGAATTCAATCATGCGCCTGTGAAAGTCAGTCAGAGGAATATCAGCCGCTGTGGCAAGGCCTGACAAGGCCTGACAAGGGCAAGCAAGGCAAGCTCGATTTGAACGGCGCCAGATATAAGCAGCGGAGCAAGGGGGGGTGTAACGTACTTGAGCGTCGATAGATCAGACGACACCTGAGCGGCAATTTGCCTTCGTTGCACCTTGATAGCAACTTCTTGACCGTCCGACAGCCGTGCATAGTGAACTTGGGCAATGGAAGCCGCCGCACGAGGTTCAGGTTCAAATGCAGGGCCGAAGAGCTGCTCGACACTCTGTCCAAAGTCCTCTCGGATGACGGCCTCGACGTCGGACCAAGGAGACGGCGTGGCATCGTCGAACATTTCGGAAAACATGCGCTGGTAGTGGTCGGGCAGAACACTGCCCTGCATGGCGATGGCCTGACCAGCCTTGAGGTAAAGGCCGCCATTGCGCTTCAGCATGTCGCAAACGCGACGAGCGTTGCGGTTGTGAAGGGCGTCGACGGAGACACCAGAGATGTAAGGGTTACTTCCGAAGTGCAGCTTGTAATCGAGGCCGACGAGGGCCATGGTCCCGTATGCCCTGACACTGCGCATCCCCACACTCCCCAGATAATACCGGTCAGCAGCATATGCTGTAAGAGTGATGCCGCCGAGGAGGTACATGAGTTTCCGAACAATCCGCTTCGGCTTCCTCGCCACCCGCGGGGTGGTAGCCGGCTGGGACGGGGCCGGTTCAGTGCCCAGGGTTGCGCGGGAGCTGTTGCCGAAAGATCTGACATGGTGTCGAGCCGGTCCAAGGGGGTCTCCAAAGGAGAACTGTGGACAACTAAACGACTGTAAGAGCGACAAGCGGCCGCCAGATATTTGCGAAAGGGGAAGCAGGGATCTGCGACGGAGGACGGTCTGGATAGGCACCGGCCCCAACCGGCAAAGAATCGGCTGGTACATGGTCGAGGCCCGGTTACCGAAACCAATTGTCGTATTCGCAGGAGAGCAGAATGAGAACGAAAGAAAGGAGCAAGACACGGGGAGGGGGATGGGCGGATGGATGGGTGAATGGAAAGTGACGTGCGAGATGCGAGAAAGAGTACGGCGCGCAGCCTTGACCAGGGTGACCGTCAAGACAGTAAGCAAAAGTGGTGTTCTCGGGAATAGACCAGTCAGACAGTAAGGTAACCGAGACGGGTCAAGCGGCTTTGGAGAAGCCAGGGGGCGTGAGAGAGGGGTAGCAAAGCAGCTGCAGGATTCAGGTTGTACAAGTTTGCCTAATGGATGAACTCAGGTACCAGAAACGGAGTTCAGATGATTCTGTACGTGTCTAGCTTGCAGATTCTTCCCCGGTATCAGGCTGAAGTTCAACTTTCCCGATAAGTACCTAGGTGCACAAATAGTTTGTACATATACGGGGAGATGGAATATAATTACTGCGCAGATTATGTGCTTCTTCTGTTTTTGAGAGTTTCCTCTGAGACGGGCCATGAGTCCACACGATCTGATTAGCTACTCGAAGGAATACCCAGCCGTACCTACTATTGGTATACAATAGCCGTCCCGTCTCATCACGGCCAGGGTGTCTCTCAATACAGAGGAGCCCGTCAAAAGACCTTGCAGAGAATGCTAAGACTAAAAGTGGAGTATCCTAGCCTCAGTACTTGAGAATACACTCCTGTTGAACTCTCACTAGATATGTCTGGAGCATAGGAGTGCTACAGCAGCATGAGATTGCTTCTTAGGGGCCTTTTTAGAAGTAGGTTGACGATTACGGAGTATGTGATCTGAGATGTACTGTGCTGTATTGATACTATTGCCTGGGAGATGGTGCTTCTAGCGCCTTGGCATTCCCTGCAAGGTCCTTTGGCAGGCTCTTCTGTAGCCGTCCCGTCTCATCACGGCCAGAGGGTGTCTCAATACTCATCACTGCTTACCTTGGAACCTTGGCGGCTTGGAAGCTTGGAAGCTTGGAAGCTACCAATAATATGTAGCATCTAAAGCCACCCCTCCACCCTTTTTGCCACTCAACGGCCCGCCCTACGGTACTCTGCAGGCTACCCTTTGGGGCAGGCTGCCGCCGTCCCGTAAGACTGACCGGCAGCCGCCACATCCGTTTCCTGCCCGTACCCTGCAGTGTCTGCGCCTGTGGGGTCGAGACTTAGAAGCTAGTTCCAACCAGGAACGGAAGACAGGACTCAGCTACATCAGCTCTGTGCCGCAGTGATGTGAGTCGGGTTGGTTGCGCGGCAATCGGCATAGGCTTGGTAGTATAAGTAGGATAACGGGATCCAATCTAGGCAATTGCGCTGTTGAAGCCGTCACGACCGGGAAGCACTAGTCCGTATTCTTGATTAGTTGATTAATCATTCAAATCACCTATACAGTGGAGTCAAACACTGTCAAGGTAGATAGTTGTTAAGATACGCGCAGTGTGCGCGGCAAATGCTTAGGGAACAAGCAGTGAATTAGACTTACTTTTTATAGTTATTTAGCTAACAAGAGGGCCGGGATTAACCTAGAATTACTACCTTAAGAAAGGGGTAATATCTAGTAATTCCATTAGGGATCTTCCTTATGAATAGTTATATAACGACCAACTAACATGATCACGTTACAATTCCTACTATAGTCTATTTAACAGTTCTAGCCCGAGTAAAATCTTACAAGGCTGCGCAGTGCTGTGAAGGCATGGCAACCAAATCATCATTCGCATCGTAGCATAATTTGTAATTGTTAAATCTTATTGCCTACTACACGTTGCACCCCCGCGTCTGACACTAGTCTACAGGCACATCTCAAGCAACCTCAAGAGTTCTCCTTTTGGCATCCTTCCAGCACAGTGCATCAGCAGGATGCTACCCAAGGCCGCATTCGACCGCGCGCCGTCATTTGCAACCAGGGCTGAGTTCAGGGCCCACAGATTTGGAACCTAGAACCGTTCGACTCGGTCAGCGAGATGTCTGCGTCTGGGTTTGTCTTGGCATTCACGGTGTTCGTGAGGACGCCCCAACAGATGATAGCGCTTACTAGGTCCTGCACCATCCTTCTGAGCCGAAGGCAGATCTTCTCTCTGTCGCCGCCGTCCATCATCTGCTGTATGTCGGCCACCAGTGCCGTGCGCACCGATGCTCCTTCTGACGTTAGCATCGTCTCGGCAATTTTCAGCAGCTCTTCGTAGAACCCTCGCCTCTCCCAGACGCTCCACTCGCTTGCCCTGTGGAAAACATCAGATACCACCCGAGGCAGCCTTCGGTTCCGGCTAAGTCGCTGTTCGTTGGCTAGCGACGACGACGCGCCGAGTTGCTCGCCGTAGTACGCCATCACCAGCTCGTCGAAGCTACCGAACCCCGCTGCCTTTGCCTGATCCATGACACTTCCCAGACGCTCCTCCAGTGGTGCGCTCTTGTTTGGCATCGCGTGAGAGTCCTTCTCCCCACTTGCAAGCGTTTGTTCAACCGCCTTGTTTGGCCCCGACGACACGCTTGATCCCGGTGTGTGCGGTACACCGCGCTGGCCCGGCTGATGCCAAGGAAAGCCGTAAAAGATACCGTCAGGCGTGTAATTTTTTGCGATTTGGTCAAATTCAAAATACATCTCATCGTCGTTGGCGGGCGAGAAAGTGACGCTGCTGGATGGGGCTGGCGTCATGATATTGGCAGGAGCAGCAGTCGTTGCCGCAATCTGCAAAGCCTCGGAAGACGTCGCGATATGGGCTGATAGGCGTCAGTTAGCACAACTACAACGGGGCGGAAATTCTTCAATGGACAAGATGAACCACGATGGGGCGATAGAGGGGAATGGGGTGCGTGCCTGTGCGCCCATCATCTTGGGATTGTGCATCGGGCAACGGCGTCTTCTCCCGTATCGTCTTCAACTTGTCCAACATCTGGGACTGCATGCACAAACATTTAAGCATAAAATCCTGTGACATGTCCCTGGACCACTCGCCGCCATCGATGTTTGTGTCCGGGGCCGCCAGATGCTCCGGGGACATCAGGCCGCCCCCGAAGAAGATTCCATCGCCGCAGTCCATGGCGGTGGAACGGGGCTCTTGGTAGATATTAAGTATGTCGAACTGCGCCAGAGTTGACTTCTCTGTTGTCGAGGACAGGTGTGATTGGTGTGAATCTACCGTAGGCATCAAGGTAGGGGAAGCGTATGTCATTGTATCGTCCGTGACACCACTGCTGTTGGGTAATGGATCGGGTAATGGATCGGGTACTGGCACTGCATTTTGATCCCGCTGCGTTTCGTGATACTCGAGCCTATCTTGTAGCATCTTCATCTTTTCCTTCATGCGGTGGCCTGAATCATGTTAGTAAGTATATGGATGTGGAGCATAGTGCCAAACAGAAAAAAGAACACGTCGGACTTGTGCAACTAACGGTATACCCGCTGAGCAACTCTGTTTTGAAGTTTTTTCTTCTCCTTGCGATTTTCTATGCCCGTCCAGTCGTCTTCCGGGGATAGTTTGCTCACGCCTGGCAAAGAGTATGGCCTTGTGTATATTGTTGAAACCGCGTCTGTGCTAGTACTCTGTTCCCCATTTTGAGTCATGGTGTTCAGGTATAATATTATGTAATGCCGAAATGAGTAGTTGAAGACAAGATCCAAGAAGAGTAATTATGCAAGTGAATAAGCTATAAGAGAAACAATATGTCTATCTGACAGTCGCTGAGCCACAGTTCTCGCAATCTTTCTACTCGACTGACGATGGAGTGAGGTGAGTAATATATGTACGCAGCCTTGCTTGATAAATCGACCGCGCTTAAGTAGATCAAGAAGGAGCAAGATGCCTTGTCTTGCCATCATCAAACAGTAGGAAGCTCGCTGCGGACGGCTTAGCGCCTAAGCATCTCAGAGGCACATACTGCTCCTATGGCCATTGTGAGGGCATGGTGGCCAAGTTGTTTCAAGGTGGTGCACTTGGCAAGGACAGCTGGGGGCGGGAGAATCCCACTATGTAGGATGGACTAGGCTGCCGAGTTATTGCCGCACCACGAAACGGAGATTTAGCGATCATGTAGAGGAGGGCGGGAGGGAGAAGGGGGGCGGGAGGGAGAGGGGGGGCTATACACAGTAGGTACCGTTTGATACCACATACTTTTCAGGTTACTCGTATCAGAAAGGAAATCGTTCCTTGCCTATGTCATCTGGATTACAATAGCTTCTTCCACTTAGCCGAGCCCGTCAGGTTCATCTGATGTAACCAGTCTCATTGCCTATTAACTCGTCCCATTGCTTACTCGAAAGCTACTTCCCATTCGAGAGGAAGGCAAAGTTGCTTCTGCCATTGCCTGAAACTATTGGCTGACTGCAGTTATACGTTATGCAGGTGGAAAATGTTGTAGCCAAATAGCCTTTCGTATGCACTGTCAACGTCAACTGTGGAGTGGAACTTTGTTCTGGTCTGTAGTATCCGTACATCGTAGGAATCTGGGACCCACAGACGTGCCATAGAAGGCATACCAGCCCTTTCAATAACCGGAAACTAGCCAATCCGCCTCCCACCTTTGCTAGGCTCCTTGCTTGCTGACCAGGTTTCATTCCTTGCCAATCTTGCCAAGGACGCTCCTCTGACCGGTCATATAATTAGCTTCGTCTCCAGGGACGTGATTCCTACCTACGGTGTTCCTCTGTTGATCGCGGCTGAGCTTGAGAACGTTTTCTACTTTGTATCAGTTACCGTTCGTGAGTGGGTCAAGATCACCCCTGTTCGTGCATCAGTCACATCATCACTCCTATTCATCTACCCCTTATGGGATGTTTTCGGCTGCAAGAATAAGCAGATCGACTGGCTCCTTGCAACACTGTTGCCTAACCTACCGGGACGCATCCAATGGTTCCGGATCTCTCCAGGAGTCCAGCCCTGTAGATCCTGGAAGCAGATATCGACTGTTGAAGCGTAGGCAAAGTGGGGTGATTGACACCGTGGCCGAAATGGGCAACGCTGTTAAAGTATTAGCCAGAATATTTAGCAGCACTCAAAGTCACCTCAAAGCGGGGGTGCCTCTACTTTTGAGGCCTTTGACAAAAGCCGCTAGGTAAATGTCAGCAGCATGATAGGGGTAGGAGATTTGTTGAAGCGTAACTATTACTGTCTAATTGACTGTTAATGACGTGTTATTATAAAGCCTGATTATAACCCTACACTGTTTACCTTAAACCACAGTGCTTACTACCGCCGTCTATTCCCTCGGGAACCCCTCTAATCTTCAGCATAATAGATAACGCTCTGACTCCATATATAATGCGCGCCCAAGAATCACCATAGCAATCCTGGTTTCTCTGAAATACAACATCGCACAGTCCGAGATTTATTGTGTTGAGCTGTTCGCAGGATGCCGCAAGAGCCAGTCATGATGGCAAAGGCGCCAGATGTCGTGGCCGACGACGAAATGGTGTGCCAGCTCGACAAGATGTGTATTGGTCCAAACCCCTTAACTGGTGAGACACTCTCATACGACGTGTCTTTCGTGGCTGACTGGGCTTGAATCTGCCTCCAGGTATTCCCGAGTTTGCCTCATTTCACGAAGAAAGAAAGCACATCCTCTTGCACATGGCCGCAGTCTTTAGAAACTGGGCTCGCGTCGGCTTTACCGAAGGTATCTCAGGCCACATCAGCGTTCGCGACCCTGAGCATGAGAACTGCATCTGGATGAACCCTATCGGTAAACACTTTGGCCTCATGAACGCAAGTGATATGGTCTGCTTGGAGATTACTACCGGCCGTGTTGTTGGAGGGAACCGCGTGAGATCTACCCATCCGTCCTTCATGTCTTCGATAATCCGTGTCTGACACCACCGATTGCGGATTCCAGAACCGTCCCGTCAACTCTCCAGGGTTCTTCATCCACTCGGAGATACACAAGGCCCGGCATGATGTGCATTCAATCTGCCATGCGCACACCATGGCAGGTCGCGCGTGGACAGTGTTTGGAAAACCACTGGAGATGATCACACAGGATGTGTGCGACCTTTACGGGGTCATTGCCACCATGAATGAGTACAGTGGCATCGTCACTGCCGAGGAGGAGGGACAGGAGATTGCGCGCTGGCTTGGGCCAAGGGGCAAGGCCGCTCTGCTCCTCAACCACGGGCTACTCACGGTTGGTTCCACGGTGGACGAGGCGTCATTCTTGTTCGGACTGCTCGACCGCAGCTGCGACATCCAACTGCGGGTGGAGGCAGCCAAGTGTGGTAATCCAACGTTGCAGAAACACATCATTCCCGATGAGCTTGCTCGCCTCAACTTCTCAATGGCAGGCGAGAAGAATTGGTTGTACGTAGAGGCTCAGCCGGACATTGAGTATGAGATTGAGATGGCAGGAGACGCCATTAGGCAGGGCATCGATGATATGAATGTAGATTTCCTGTAGTTTGCAAACTCGGTCGTTCATGCAGAATCCTTATTATCCCCGTGCGTAACATAACTCCTAGGTGCGCAAGATGTTGGTTGTAGCGACAGACAAAGGCCTGCGTTTGATGAATCGCCGCAGTGTTTTATTTCTTTTCTTTTTTTGAGTACTCCTGCTTCAACAAGTAACGAGTTCCCCGTTTTGATGGAACATGTAAGAAATACAGTGCTTGTCAAGTCTTTCCATTTTCCCGGGTCGTTTTGTTCTTAGGCCGTCAAAATATAATCTGTCAGGATCAAACAAGCTGCGAAACAGAAACAATTCATGGTGGAAGCAACAATCTGCTCCGATGATTGTGGATCGCACTTATGTGAGAGAAGTCCTAGGTAGAGCCGATTGTACACACTTGATCTACTGACATTACACTATCCTGCATATCATCGCCACAGCACATAGATATCTATTAGTTCTTCTGGAGTGTGGTTCCAATCTCCCCTGACTACTGTTTTCCTACAGAGAAATCATGGCAACACGCCTAGGCGTTACCCTTGATCTCAGGCTCCAGAACACGAAGGCTATCAAGGATTTCTAGCCCCTCATTAAGTTGCTTCGTGACTTGTGTGATCTATGAAATGGTCAGCATACAAAAGAAGGCAAAGGAACTGGCCAGGGTTGGGCTTACGTTGGGAAATTGAAATATGTTGTAATGGTGTGCGTCCGCTTCGATGACAGCTTTGATGAATTCCGGGTGGTGACCCTCCCAACCCAGCAGAGGCTCATCACGGAACAAATCCACCTGACACGGATCTTTCGCGCTTCCCTGCGCTGGCACATGTTGTACGCACTTGATAAGAACGGCAGGTGGAGGGGAAATAGGCTGACGCGACAGCATATGTATCCCATCAAACATTCGCGTCTCCATGGTCCGCCAGTGACCACGGGTGGGTTTGTAAATGACCTCGTCGCTACGTAAATGAAATTGCTCGTCGGCAACGGTCACATATACGCTGTTACCCCCACATGTAGGCCTATCCCAAGGGAGAAGCTTCCATGTGTCTAGAAGACCCTGGCAGTTATCGAAGGACCTTTGCACAAGCTCTGGGACCTTACCAAGGTCGGGCTTTGACGTAGGGATCGCCAGTTCGGACCAAGGGGTGTGATGTGGGGAATCGACAAATAAGAGTCCGGCGACTGAGATTTTTGACCGAGGGCGTTTAGCGAGTATCTGAGATATCGTGAGCGCAAGAAGACCCCCAAGAGACCACCCTATAACGTAATGTGAGATATTGATTTTCCTTGAAACTGTATGAACGGGCCCTTCCACACACCTCCTAGCAAGATGGGGCCACTGAGACCAGCCATGAGCATCAGGCCGATGTAATGGCGCGCCATCTCCACCATGCCCCCCGGCCACACTTCCCCCGTATGGTAGTGGGGGTTATGGATGGCCCAAACGTCACGGTGTAAGCTGTCAAGAAGGAAGTAGGTAAAGGTTGTGCCGCCTCCGTCATGGATTAGCACGAGTGGGAGTCGACGCTCTCGCTGGTTCGGAGATGCGAACTGCACCTGAAGAGGGTTTTGTTCGTGCATTTCGGAAAGCTGCCGAGTTTGATTAAAACCTGCGGCAAAAAGGTGGGAAAAGGAGGGCAAGTAAGTCTTTTTCACTCATAGACACATCTAGGAACTTCTGCTGCATTCGCTAAGTCCAAAGCTTGGCTTACTGTCCGTATCACCTCATCTGAGTGAAGGCGGTGTTGGGTGTGTCTTGATCTCTCCACACTACCTCTGATACGACAGAAATGTGCCATGACAATAGACAGTGCAGGTATACGTGAGAGCTGACAAACACGACACGCCTCGATCGAGTGATCGCCACAGGGCTCCTTTGGCGTACTGCGCATGCGTGGCCTTGCGTTACTGCAGACTAGATAGTAAGTCCGACCCAATGCAGGCCATTCCATAACGATTATCCATACGCCTAGGAGCTTGGATAAAGTTTGGAACCAGTGGTTTTGATCTTAATCTTTCCGTCCCCAGCACCCATTCCTCCATCATCCTTTGAAAACCAAGTTCAACCGTTTTATCTTGTCCAAATGGTGCTTCGCGTAGTTTAATGATGGACTTTTCTACTCATCCAGAACATAGCATAGCTTTGACCTTGCATCTTTGATAATAGTCTTATGTGAGGTTCCGACAAAATTTGATCCTGACAACAGGTGCGATGCACAACATCTGCCAGAATAAATGACATGATTGTAAAACACAAAAGGAAACAAGCGAACTTGGTACGATAACATTTGTGTCCGCGCTCAAAACCGTGACGGATGATAGCACTGTGGGCTTAAATAGGACGTGATGACGAGTTTGTCCTTTTTGTAGGCGCAGGAAATATAAGTTTGCACTCCGCGGGAGTCACCACCACTCTCTCCCGTTGCTAGAGTATCAAGCACCTCGAGATATTGCTGCACATAAGCACTCCGGCCCTGACTCTTCAGGTAATGGACCAAGCCTTGAGCAGCAACCTTGTCGCTAGGAGCGTAATGCCTCACGGGAATGTATACTTTGACATCGGGAAGTGCAGCCGTTGATGCGACATCGAAATAGAAGAGCACTCCAGCCGTCTCATGTGAGTTGGATGAGAGCTCCTTGTCAGCAGGAGCGTCGTCAGATAGACCCAGCACGAGCTTCCAGAGTCGATGAAGCTGCTTCTCAGCCTCCTCGATGCCCCTACGCTGTCCGCCAATGGACATGACGCGTCGCACGAGGTCAAAAGTAGTGATGCGTGAGCGGGCGTATATTTTCAACCGGGACTCGGAGGGGATGACACAATCAATGCCCAACATGAATGGATTGATAGTGCGGCCGTGAACGTCGTTACGGAAAAAGCTGTGTAATCTATTGGTAGCGGCGGGATTGCAACAGCCAGCGGATGCGATTGCTCTAAATATTTGGTTGACAGATTTGTACCCGGGAGCTTCCACCGGAATAAAGTAGGCTTTGACACCCACGGGACCATGGGAGATTTCAAAAGCCATAAAAAGTGTGGACTGGCTAACGACCTTGGCCTCGGAAGCCGGGGTCCCAGGACCTAGAAGGGTGTGCTTGAAATGGTCAAACCACTCCAGGTCGAGGCCCTGGAGACCGTTGCTGTAGAGCTGGGCGAGAAAGTCGCAAGTAGCAACTTGATTGAGAGGATCTGGAGACGCTCCTGCGTAGTGACCAATGGACTCGATGCTGTAGCGAACCTCAGGAGCCTCTCCACCGAAACCCCATTTCCACGAGTACTCAATAGGAGTATGGTCGTCAGTCATAAAACTCTTCCATCCCGCCTTGGACCCAGAAGGCCTGGGGCCCAGTCGGGGCGTCACCAAGTGATACAAGAAGCGCAGAGCCTCGAGTTGGTCGGTGATAGAATAGCCAGCGGCGAAGAGTAAGGTCTGCAGATGGCTACCTACGCTCTGCCACCACCAGTCGCTGTCTGGAGATCTCGTAGGCGGCCACTTGGTCAAGGAAGCCAGAACGGAGTTGAGGGAGAGCTCCAAAGGAATTTGGGGCAGTGGTAAAACATGCTGTCTAGCTTGATTGGCAGTTAAAGTCATGGTCGCAGAGGGAAAGGGCGAGTAAAAAGTTAAAAACGTGGCGAATGTGATGAATAAATGAGGTTAAGGATCGTGGCCAAACAGACGTAAGTTGATAGAGTAACTTTAAAAACTAACATGAGGTGACTGATGACTCTTACAGTCGTTTCTCTTCCTAAATATTGAGGAAACATGACTGGTGATTCCAAGCCATGAGCAGCTACACAAGGCCTAATGTCTGATCTATGGGCTATACTGACTACTGACTGCTGTGTGTTAGTATCTGTCCAGACGTATCTCAGAACCGCATTGCGCCGAAAATAGATCCTAGTCTTAGGTAACGAGGCTTATGGTCCTTGGATAGTAATTCCTGGACACTAATAATGCTGACAGCAGAGAACGTGCCTAGAGGGGACAAGAGTATTATCCTGCAATCAATGTCCTCAAAAGCTGATGACTATATATCTAAGTACAAGAAACACCAAGATATAGCAGACTTTACAATTAGTAAAGAGTTACTAACTATTACTATATAAAAGCTCAAGAGGTTTCTACAAATAACACAGTTTTATTATAAGTCTATAGGGCTACGATTGTATCTAATCACACAGTCTGGTTAATATTATGTAAGTAATAAACTTAAGGGAGTAAAATCTCACTAGGCGGCGTGCTGCACCAGCATGACGTCTACTTCGGCATACAGTTCATGCAAGTGGGTGGGCGAGGCGCCGACGTGTGACTGGGACTGGCCCATCGACTACTCGAACAAGATAGTGTCTCGTTAGACATGGCCGCTGGGGGTGAGCAGCCCTGTATATTCAGTATCAGGCATTACTGCTGCCAGGATACCAATCCGACAGCCTTTTCCAAGTGCTATTAGGTCCAGAAGTGTTGCGGTGGCATGTACGCCGGAAACGGCTGCTTTGGGAGCGCCAGAGCGTATTGCTGCGAGCCTCCGAAGCCTTTAGCCCCTGACAGCAAACCGTATAGCAGGTACTGTTTTACCTACCAAGTTAGTAAGGAACCCTGATCCCCTAGATGAGCCTCCCCTCACTGGCTTATCTATGGCAGAGCGGACGGGATCCCGAGTTTTCCAATGGGTATAGTCATATGCGGCAGGTTCATTATGTTGAGTAAACTATATAGGAAAATATCACGAGATAGACTAGTTGACTTAGATGTATTTCTATCGCCATGTGACTAACTATGCCCGGATGCACTCATCGCCGTTGCCTACCACGCTGGACCCTTATAGGCTAGTCTAACTGTTGCCTATCAAGATGAATTTAGCTAGGCTGGTATTACCGCTGTATATATATTCCATAGTAGACTATCCCTTCTCTCTTGGTGGTTGGATAACATTCGGGCAGTGTTTCTAGCGCACGGATGGGCATTGCTGAGGGGCGCGCCAATAAAAGGGACAGCCACATACCACCGCACCCTTGTCTGCCGTGGTGTTTTTGGACGGTGTGCCGGAAATAACAGCGGTTATGCTTGTCAACATACATGGGCACAAGGCTAGCAAGAGATCTGGACCATGCGTCTTGAACGCCAGCGTCAAGTCCAGGTGCTAGCCACTCAGGAGGCCGAGGCAGCTGCAAAGGAGAGCACCCGTTGAGGAAAACCCCTAAAAGGAAGATGACTGATAATGAGCTGATGCTAGAGAAACCAATTATGCGATACGCTCAAGCACGGCGGCAACCAAGTCTCCACTCTGGAATAGTTTGTTCATGACCTGTCGATTGTTTGCTTGTTCGTCGGTGTTGTATGTTGAAGTCTCGACCAATAGTTTTACGTGTGAATGCAGACGTGGCTCCAGGAAAGGAAGTACATGTTCCTTCACCGCTTCCAACCTCAACGTGCCCGAGACAAACAAGTCGTATCTGAACAGGGTGACTTCTAAAGCCGGAAGAAGAGAAATCGGGGGGACAAACAAGTTGTTTGGTGGGGTTTTTTATTTGAAGGATCTCTAGACTGTCAAACACATCCAGATCTACCTATGGCTAAGGAAGAATGTGTTTAGATGTTCTACGTCTGCCATAACAAGCAACACGCCCCGGAGGGGGGCATAAACCTAACCATTGCTTACGTGCAAGATCCATCCTTGGTTTATCTGCCGGCATACTTTAATGAACGTTATGGGATCTTCAAGTCGGCCAAACAGAGAGTCACCCGCCTTGCCTACCGCCAATGGCCAATCTTGGTACATGAACGGTAAGGGCAGTGCTCCCAGGCCTCTGGTTAAGCCCATCGCCCTTTGCGGTATGGGAGTGCGGCTCCCGGGCGCAGTCAAAAATGCCCAGGCCTTCTGGAACCTGCTCCAGAACAAGCGGAACGGGCGATGCAAGGTATTAAAGACGCGTTACGATGTCGACAACTAGTATGGCCCCGGTAAGTCGGGCCACGTCAGCTCCAATCTTGGATACTTCCCCGACCATGTCGACCTCGCCAACATGGATACGTCTTTCTGTTCGGCGACAAAGGACGAGTGCGCTCCGATGGATCCTCAGCAGCGGCTCCAGCTCGAGGCCGTGTACGAGGCGTTGCAGGCGGCCGGGCAAAGGTCGGCGGGCCTAGGAGGCCGCAAGATCGGCGTCTTTGTTGGCAGTTTCGAAGGGGACTGGTTGGAGTTGGACCAGCGCGATATCGAAAACTTCAACCGCCATCGGCAATCCGGCTCAGGTGACTACATGACGGCAAACCGTATACACTATGAATTCGATGTCATGGGCCTCAGGTATGATGGCTGCCGACTTTTCTAAAACTCTTCACGCGAAGGACGCAAAAGCATCATCGGTAGCTGAACCGGGGGACAGACCAAGTTTTGTATAAGTACAACACCGTCATCCGCAGTGGGTGCTCTAGCCCCATGATCGCTCTCCACGATGCATACACAGCCATCAATGCCGGGGAGTGCGAAGCACGCGCGAAGCAGCCATTGTCGGATGTTGCAATCCCACCCCCCCCCCCCCCCCCCCGAGCATGACAGCCACGATGCAGGAGCTGGGTGTTTCGTCGCCGAGCGGCTACTACCACACATTTGACGCCGCCGCCGACGGCTATGCCCGGGGCGAGGCCGTGTCAGCCGGCCCTCGTAAGAAGCTGAGCGATGCCCTCCGCGGCGGCGACCCGGTTCGGTCTGTGATTCGGTCTACCTGCCTTAACGCCGGAGGAAGGTCCTCGACGCTGTCGGCGCCTGTTGCGGACACTCATGAGTCCTTGATTCGCCGCTGCCATGAGCTGGCTGGCATAAGCGACTTCTCGAGGACGGCTATGATGGATTATTACGGAACGGGCACCCCTGTCGGCGATTCTATTGAGCCCCAGGCCATTGGGAACGTCTTTGGCGAGCATGGAATTTATATAGGATCGGTTAGTAGTACCCCTGGGCCCCTTTTTCTGTTCAAACTCTGTATGTTGAGTATTGATAACCCACGGCAGGGCAAAACTAACCTTGGGCATGGCGAAGGCCGATGCAAAAGGCGCAGCACATCGGCAAGATGGTCGTTACCATGCCTGCCGGTGCCGATGCCGAGCTGCCGTCCTAAGCCGCACATAAGCCGTTCCGTGCGCGTAGTAATGCCGCATACCTCCTGACCGGAGGTTTGGGTGGTCTCGGCCGGTCATCAGCACATGGCTGGCCGAGGGGGGCGCTCGTCACTTTGTCTTCTTGTCCCGCTCGGCTGCGGAGCCCCATCACGATGCTTTCTTACAAGTTCCGGGAACTGGCCGGTCTGGGCTGCACAAGCATCGGGGTGTCGGTCGACTGCGCCAACTACGAGGACGTCGTGCGGGCCGTCGAGGCCGCGGGCAGTCCGATATGTGGTGTGCTTCATGCATCCATGGTCCTGGAGCACAAGAGCTTTTTGGACATGTCGTTTGATCAGTGGTCCGCTCCTTAACGACCCAAGGTTGACGGCGCATGGAATCTGCACAAGACTCTCTCTTCTGAGACCCTCGACTTCTTCTCCTTCAGCTTATTCGGGGCCATGTTTGGGCAATGGGGCCAGGCCAATTACTGTGCCCCTAACACCTTCGTCGACCCCTTCGTCTCGAACCGGCACTCGCTCGGCCTTCCCGCGTCCACCATCAACATAGGCGTCATAGGCGGCGTCGGTTGAGTGGCCGAGAACCCCGAGGCGCTCGAAAAGCTCCAGGCCGCCGCATCTCACATCAGTCAGGAGAGCGGCTTTTTGGAGTGCGCCGAGCTGATGCTCATGCGACCCGGGCCCATACAGCAGCAGCAGGGGCAATCGCGCTTTGTACAGCCCTCGCAGATTGGCTTTGGCTTTCGATCCACGCTGCCCATCGCTTCACCCAGGAACCGCGTCGTCTTCCGCAAGGATCCCCGCATGCTAGTCTACCGCAATCTCGAGGCCGACACGGGATGGTCGTCGGCGCCGACGACGCATGCACAAGCGGGCGCGGACCCAGCCGATGAAGAACTGGCGAGATTCCTGCGAGGCGCCGCTGCCCATATGGCCGTTCTGCACTCCGATGAGGCGGCGGCCTTACTTGCGCGGGACGTAGGCCGTACCCTGTTTGGCTTTATGCCGAGGCCCGAGGACGAGTTTGACGTGCACACGCCCATGGCGGATGTGGGCATCGATAGCCTGGTAAGTATCGAGCTTAGGAATTGGATTAGGAAGAGGCTCGGGGTCGAGATGAATGTGCTGTAGATCACGAGAGCGGGCAGCCTGCAAGAGTTTGGGGGCTTGTTACAGACGAGAATGATAGAAAAGTATCAGGCTAGATGGTAGTACAGATACTCGTTCATTCGAGCTTTGTACCGAAAAGCAACTTGGAGAGTTGAAGCCTGGAAAGTTCCGGTTTTGAGAGGAAGTTGTCTAGTTCTCCAGGGCAAGTTCCTTCATCAACCTATGAATTGAAGCAAGTCAACTTGGATGACGTGGAAAGAAATCAGGCCGATTGCGTGTCGACTCGGGTGAAAAGTGGTATGCACCAGGTGCGAATATAATTCGAGATCATTACAGTGTGTATGGTCGATTCAGTCCTCATCTACCCAGATAAAACGGCTATGATCAAATGTCAGAGACCGAAGATCGAGAGCCCCGTCTGGACTCTGGGTCGCCAAGATTGAAAGGCAGCGGATCTTTTGTCAAGTATCCTTATACTAATCCACATTCGTAGTGAGTAATAAGGTGTTCCCGATGACCCTATAACAATAGGTCTTTAAACTTCGGCTAGTCCGGCTAGGATCCTATACCCTAGCAAAGTACACTTAGTCTATTATGTATAGCCCCGTCTACGCCAACCTTACCCCCTTGCGCGGCGGGCTCGCCGCCTGTATTAGGTATCCGTGACAGGGTGGAATAGGGTTAAACCTACGATTAGTAGGCCCCCGGGAAAGCAGTCCTGTCTTATCGATAGTATTGTAACAAAATCCCCCCGTCAGTCACCCCTCATTTAGTGCCGTTTCTCGTGTCTTGCTCCCCACGTTATTCACATTAGACCGTTCGATATAATGCTTCACAAACCTGGGTCTACAGAAAGTTTTCTTGGCCAACCTCAATCTCTATCCCTTTAGTTGCGAAATGACCTCATTATCCTCCGTGAGGGGTAGGAGCAAATCAGGTCACAGTAATTAACGCCAAAAGCTAATAGTTTCAAGGGACTTATATTTATATAGCGTTTCACCTATGCCAAAGGTATTAGTAATCTCTACCTTTATATAACAGTATATTATAGTCTAAGTAGCTGTATTAGGTCCTTTACTAGGCTAAACTATTATATTATTATACTACTTTAGCGTTGTTATACTACTCTAGGATATACTTATCTAGACAGGTAATAGTTAGGTCCTCCTACTAGACCTCTATATAAATAGTACTATAAATAAAGGAAGTTAGAAGATATTGTAGTTTAAATGCTGATGTTAGTGATTGGTGGTGGTTGCTAATAAAATAACATTCTAGAACAATGTACCTATTGTCATGTATCTCTGAAAGATTAGGGTAAAAGTGGAGGGGGACCCACCCAGAGGATAATGAGGTCATTTCGCAACTAAAGGCATAATAGAACGGACTTGGGACTTTGGCTCTTTACTGCTATTTCAGCCCCAAGGCCAAAGAGCTGCGACCATCATGCTGTAGCTGGTTTGTCGCCCAGTGCTTCAAATGCTCTGTGCCTGTTGTATGATCAGGGTCGGCGGTTTAGTGAACGTAATATTGGGGTGCCGGTACCCTATCTGCACGAGCATATACATTACACAGAGTATCCCTTTAGTTGCAAACTGACCTCACTAACCCCCGTGAGAGGTAGGAGCAAATCAGGTCACAGCAATTAACGCCAAAAGCCAATAGTTTTAAGCTAGTTCTATTCATATAGCGTTTTACCTATGCCAAAGGTACTAACAATCTCTACCTTTATATAAAGGTATATCATAGTCTAAGTAGTCCTACTAGGTCCCTTGTTGCCATAGGCCTAGATCTACTAGAGGCTTATTAGGCTAAATTATTTATATTATTTTACTACTCTAGGATATAGTTATTTAGGTAAGTAATAGCAAGGCTCTCTAGTAGGACCTCTATATAGATAGTAGTATAAATAGAGGTATTTAAATAATAATGTTAGTAATAATGTTAAAATAGGTAGTAGTTACTAACAAAATAATATTCTAAATCAATGTATTATCATGTATGTCCGAAAGTGAGGGGTCAAAGTGGGGGTGGGTCCACCTAGGGGTTAGTGAGGTCAGTTCGCAACTAAAGGGATAGTATGTAATTTTAGGATTCAAGCACGGCCAGCCTTATATCTAGATGAATCGCTCGCGCTCATGAGGTTCTTGTCTGGTTCTAATCCCCAGGTGCTATCCTCCTTCGTGGGTTCCTTCACGAGGCTATTATCGCTTGGGTTGTTGAGATTGGTATGCAGGGTGGATGGGTTCTGCTAAGATTAACTACTATCTATGTAATACACCAACCGGAGACACCGATTCCGTGGGTCTCGCACCCCTCCGGAAGCCTCAGAACCGAGTACAGTAGATAAATGGATAGAGCCGAGCTTCACGCGAATGTACTATGTAGTATACATTAGTTCAAAATCCCTTTGGACTTAATCCAAGTTCTACGCGCCATATCCAACTACACCGGCATTCTCCTGCCTGTTGTCCCTCATTTTGTTGTCACTGGCTCTGGTCTATTTTATCATCTCAATTCTTAATTTGCAACATGCACTCCATATACCCGCTCCTCGTCCTCCTTTGGTCGCTATCGTGCACATTTGCAGACCCCGCCCCACCTGTATTCACACCGCCGCCAAAACCATCCGGGCTGATCTCCCCAGGGTCAGGGCCAGGCCTAAGGTCGCTATCATACACATTTGCAGACCCCGCCCAACCTGGATTCACACCGCCGCCAAAACCAGCCGGGCTGAACTCCCCAGGGTCAGGGTCAGGCCTAAAGCCTCTTCGACAGGCCAAGGACATTTATACTGTTGCTGTCAAAGGAGACAAGTACCTTGTGTACACGCCCTATTTTGAAGGGAACACGGTGCCAGTTACAGTCTTAATATTCCCAACCGACAAGCCCGACCAAATAATTATTCCTCTGGCCTTCAACGGCGGGGAAAAACCCCACACTGATCGTAGCCCGCGGCTGCATCTATCCGATATAATCCAAGCTGTAGCAAGCAAGCACGCACGGAAGTCACTTTCGTCCATCGACTGGGTTATTATTAAGACTGTCGTAAACAAAAAGACGGAAGCTGTCCTCATTAGCTACTATGAGGATTGGAAGAAACACCAAGCCAACCCAAAGGCCCAATTACCAAAAAGGATCACCGTCGACCAGTCTGATAAGTTTTGGCCAACCTTTAAAAACACGCCATTCTTTAAAGCCGTCGACTACACATTCAAACCCAGCAAGAAGGCTGTGGTATCCATGGACGTTGGTCCGAAATCGGGAGCGGACTTGTGGCTCCGATTGGGACCCCTTAAGTAGGGCTTAGCAGAACATGATAATAAGAAACTAATTCAGCGTGGTATAAGTTCTGCTGCTTCTAATAAACTCTCTGAAAGCGCTGTAGAAGGTCGCGGTGGTGGTGAGCGTATATTGATTGATAAGCCTTCCTATAGTGATATAACTCTACACACCTTACTTTCTTAGTAGTTATTCTCCTACATATAGTAAGTAGTCACTTATGTTGGCGCACCGTTTATCTATATCTATCCCTCGCGTATATATACGTAACTGTAAGAGGCAGGCTACCTGATTGGAACATGTTACTGGTTTCTATACTCTCAGAGCAAGGATGTGCTCATACACCACATCCCGACTCCGTCCCCGAAATGCCCTCATCCGCATCCACGCCCCTAAACTCGAAATATTTTTTCCATTCCGGATCGTCCACGAGCTGGTGTACGAGCTCCCTCTCGAAGCCGGCGTGCAGCTCAATGCCCTCGTCGTCCCCGGCCGGCCCGCGGCGCGGCGGGTACACGATGATGATGTTGTTGATCACTGTGTCTGGGTTGAACAGATGCCGGAAGGCGGTGGGCTTGGCGAAGCCGAAGTCGGCGGTGCACACGTCGGCGTCACGCCAGTCGGTCATTGCTACGGACATGGGCGGGAACGAGTCGACGCGGATGGACAGGTCCGCCTTATTGCGGATCGGCGCGAGCGCCCGCAGCGCGCCGGCCAGCGCCTCGCCCGTCACGCTGTCGGTCATCCGGCGCGCGTAGGCCGCCAGCTTGGACAGGGGCGCCTCGGAGACGATTTCAGACACGGTGAGCTGCGGTACGGGGGCCGTGGCGGACACGGCGGCGAAGAAGACGTTGCCTTGCATGCGGGCCGGCATCTTGGGGTCGGTGAGACGCTTGGTCATGTTGATAGCCTCCCCCCAGATAGGGTTCGAGAGCGGATCCGGCTTGTAGACGGGCTCGCGGATCTTGCTGAATGTGCGCCATGCGAGGGCTACGACGGCGTCGTACGTGGAGATCCAGGAGCCGTCGTCGGGCGACGCCGCCTTCTTCAGCTCGGCGGCTTTGCTCTTGGGCATGTGGAAGATGAGCGACTGGCAGCGCTTGTGCTCGGGGTGACGGCCGGCCTGCGGCGGCGCGTCGACCCGCGATTCCTCGGGGATCGCCGGAGCGTTGAAACGGCTGCGGTCGAGGCATCCGGGGTCGAAGGACGGGAACTCGGTCTTGTTGACGATGGCGGAACAGTTCTCGGCCAGCTGCTTCGTGAAAGAACCCCACCCAGAAATGTCGTTGCTGTAATGGTGGGAGTGCATGTTGAATATGAGACCCCCGGGGATAAAGTTGGCCTTGAACGAGGCAGTGACAGGGCTGGAGTCCGGGTGGGCTTCCGGCGTCTCGCCGTAGGTCATGGGGGCGTTGCTCAAGATCTTGATATCGCCAAGGGTGGTTGTGACAAAGTGAGACTTTTCAATCTCGGCAAAGGACGGGAACTTGTCGTCAGGGGAGTCGAGATACTGGACTACGAGCTTGACAGTGCTGCTCTTTCTTTTGACAAAGGAGTGGAAGCCGTCTTCGTCCTTCTCAATTGTGCCTACAAGGTGAATGGCTTGCGCGAGAGCCCGCTCCAGACCTTCCTTGAGCACCTCCGCCACTTTGCTATCCAACCGAACATCATGAGTGAGCTGCTCGCTCATGAACCGAGGCAATGGTGTCGGACTAACCTCTTGTCCTCATCTTTCACCTTGAAAAAAAGTGCATAGTTGTTGTAAGTCCTCGGCGACATGTAGTCGAGGGTGGAGAGCTTAAACCGTTCCTCCTCTGGACCGCTCTCCCAGCCCAATGGCCGAATGTGAAACTCCTCGATCCGGGGCATGACGAATTAGGCCGTGTAGATTGGGCACTTGTGTGGGGCCGCGTCGGTGTAATGTTATACTGATCGTTGACACAAGGCCTTGACGTTGCGTTGCGGATTGTGTTTTTGAATCTCAGCAAGTGACAGCTCGACTACGACCTCACGAGCAGGTTAAGGGGAAAGCTGGGAAGCCTTCTTTGAGGGTAGGGGCGGATCCTTCGGCAATATACATGGGAAGATGGCGTTGGGAATGGTTGTACGACGGGAGGGGCGTGAAGGGGTGACATGCGCGTTCTATGCGTGTCCTGAACCATTGCATTAATCACGTATCACCAACGATGACGGATGACTTAGAGTCAACTTGTTTATTGGCCTGGCTGATGGGTCTTTGCAACTCATGCAGACACTGCTGCCTGTTTGGGCGCGAGTTCATCTCGACCCGCCAAACATTGCCAGGTTTGTCGTGTCTCTGCCGCTTCTGACACCCCTTACAAACACGGTATTGCACCCCTGCAATTGTTTAACGGCTGGGATTTATCGGTTGCCGCAGATGCGCAGACAGGGGTCTTGAGGTGCGGTCAGATGCGGAGTCGGGCTACAAGTGGCTTATCCGATGACTCTTTGCCCCCTCGTGAAGATACAGGAGCCGAAAGCAAGTGCATTGGATAATATGATGGTTGCTGCTTTGGAAAGCCTTTTGGGCATATTATATGCCTACCTATCCACATGTGACGATCCAACCCATCTACAAAATGATATGGAGGCATAAGCAGCAACATTGACGCAGTTGACAAGACTCCGTCCACAACCTGATCCCACCAGCATGGTCCAGCCCTAGAAACGACTCTTTACGTCCAACGAATTTTATGACCATTCATGTTATACCTGCTCTGTCTGGCCTAGTTCTCCATGATTTTCCGTTGCGTGATCTAGACGATCCCTTCATTCAGGATCTTTGGCATCCCAGTGATACCTAGTGGACTTGGACTCAGAGGCGTCAAACTTCGGTTCATTGATCCTCTAGTAGTACTCATTGCCGGCACGCCGGATCATGAACCTTTTCGTGGGACTCCGGTGGTTCTTTGGATTACCGATAAAACCGCAAGCCACTGAGACGTAGGCCCAGAAACAGACGGGGCTGACGGAGTAGATGGCATTTTCAGCCGGGACATTCTGGGTGTTTACCGCGAGACAAAAGGCGGCAGGAAATATGTTTCTCGTCAGTCTCGTAAACCACATGTAATTCAATAAAATTTCAAGCAACAACACACCGAGAAATTGACAAATCGCCGCCCCCGGAAGGCAAAGTTCGAGTTGTCATCAACTCCCTGGTCTCCGAGTCGGCCTGCGCCATGTCTATCATGCTAGTGTCCCGGAAGGTAACCAAGCCGCTTTCGAGTTGTGACGTCGATTCCCTGATGGCGGTCAAGCTTCGTAATTGGATCAGACGTGACTGGGCATTGCTGCCACTACTATGCAGCTTTCGGCCTCACTGGGACAATCAGAGGCTCTGGATTCGTCTGTGTCAACTACAGCTTCGCCAGTCTGAATCCGCGATTGACGCACATCTTTGATCGTCGCGAGCTTGGTGTTTGGGTCCAGTTCAACGGCCTTTCTCTTCCTGGTAGCACTCTTGTTGACTTGGGCCTGGAGGAGCCGTGTTTGGTGCCGGGCAGTAGATGCCCCATTGGCACGCCTTGAACCGATGAAACGACTAGTATGCAGCTTGACAGATGGATTTCTTCGCATAAATCCTTCCACCCAGTGCTTGCCTAGAGGCTTGGTATCCCCCATAGCATGGAGAATGCGCTGGGCATACTCCCTCACTTGTTGTTGGGTTGGCGGGAGCCCAAGACCAACCTCTGCTTGCACCCAGATGGCCAGCTTAGCTTCATGGCTTGCAGAGAGTCGTTGAAGGTCAACGAATGCAGTATCTCTACTTCGAAGACCCTTGAGGCGATTGTGGATTGTTGATCGTGGTATGCCATACATCCTGGATGCCTCACGGGCTGATCGGCCATTGGTGATGGCACCAAGTGCCTCATTGATATCATTTTCTGTATGCCGAGCCATTGGGTCATAAAAAACAGAGGCTGAAGATTGGAACGATTTGATGGAGGTTAGTAAAAGTGGTGATAGCTTAAGGTTGGAGGGAGGGGATAATGGTTATGTCGCGATGCCTTCACGACATCGCGCAGCCTTGTGGGGATACGATCGGAGCCGGAACATCCATTAATCCGGTGCTCACTGCCCAGATCCACCATTGAGACTTGGATTCTCGAAAGCAAAGCGTTCTGATTCTGATTAATATCTGTCCCATCCAGGCCTTGGAGGCTCCAACAGGCTAGACCCATTGCCGCCTCAACCAAGGGCTAGACCTTGCTTTCACTATCACGGCGGAAGTTTGGAAACTTGCCGGTTGCCTGTTGGGTGTATTCCGATTCGGTGTTCTCTGCCCCATATCACGGATCGTCAACCAATCGGAACTCTGGGAAATTGGCCGCAGGTCATAACCTGCATTGCGTGTCTCTATTCCTCTTTGGTCGACGGACTGCACGTCTGCTCAGAACCGACCTGCAAACTGCGATAGACGCTCTAGTATACACTTTCTTTGGAGTATTTGCTGTACCTGCCATCTACTTATTTCCGTGTCTAATCTCACTGATTTCGGTCGGACGTAGCTTTTCGGCTTACAGGACAGTAGTTTGCCGCTATTTGTAGTCTGATTGATCACACCGAAACATCTCACGTTGCTTATCCTCATTGCCTGGATTTACATTCCAACTACGCCGGTCATTTCATGATAGCCCATAGGCTCAGGCCGCATGGACTGAGCCGGCGACCATTACTCACATCAAATCAGGGTGGCGTACCACAATGGAGGAGACATCAATTAGGCTATGTTCCCGCATCCTGCGAAAACCAGAAAGCCACAGCAGAGGACAGGTCACATTCCCAAAGCTGGCTTGTTGGGCGTTCTATGGTATCGCCCGCTATGCGCGCTATGGTAAGTGGAGTCGCTGTGCTGTATCCCCTACAACATCAGCTTTTTTCTCTTCCACAAACATTACGTTGACAAGTCGCTACCGCATCATTACCCGCAATGGAAATCAACGCCGCTGAGAGGAGCCTGTCTGATGACACGCCTCGTAAGCAATTCCCTACGTTATCTTCGGTCTCATTCACGCTGACCTTCTCTAGAGGGTTCCAAAGCCTTTTCGGGGTATCGGTGGACGTACCACGATTCTCTACAAGAGGGACCTGTTCGTTCACGAGCCGAGTCGTTTTCGGCATCTGTGGACTGGAGCTCACTCCTGCAGTACGCAGCCGAGAAGAGGAATGGGTCCAGCTGCCAGCTCCTTCCTGATATTGGCCTTGGTTACAACCATATGGTCCGAATCATCCAGTTTGACGATGGTGTGCGATGGGTGGCACGACTGCAGATGCCTCCCATTGGTACCTCAGATGTCTTCGAAAGCTCGGATGAGTCGGAAGAGGCAGTGGGAAACTACGAATACAACACCATTTCCCTTGTGCGACAAAAGACCAGCATACCGATCCCCGAAGTCCACGCTGTTGAGGCTAGACGGCATTGTGACGTCAAGGCACCATTCATGTTGATGGACTGTCTACCAGGGAACGTGGGAATGGACTTGGGCATGAAAGTACCGCTGGAATATAAGCAAAAGTTCCTACGTAGTCTTGCGGAGATACATGCAAGTCGCCGATTTGTGTTTCAAGCACATCTTCAACTAATCCAACACAGGTCCAGTTAGCCACGGTACAACTGCCTATGATTGGGACAATCGTTTCGAGAAACAAGGACGGCACATACCGGCAAGGCCCAATTCCGGGTCTTGGTGGTCCTTTCAACACAGCGACGGAATTCTTCATTGCATGGGCGGCCAAGACCACATTCGGCATGACGGATGAAGAACTACGAACAGCATCTGGTGAATATGCTGACGAGATTATCCCCTCCGTGTCATCCTTTCCGAAATCCATTAGCAACCTTGCCAGTAGACTCTCAACTCGCGACCACGGCCCATTCCCTCTTTGCCACGGCGACTTTGGCCACAACAACATCATTGTTGACGATGAGTATCGTGTCCTCGGTTTGATTGACTGGGAGGCTTCCTTCGCTGGGCCGTGGGAGATGTTTGCAGATTTTCCTTTAACCCTCTCAATGGTTCCGCCAGCGATCGATGTACCGTGGAATTACAACGAACAAGGCGATCCTGTCACCGACGAACTGCAACAGCAGCTTGCAGATCAGAAAAGCTATGTGGCGGCTGTGAAAGACGTTGAGAATAGCAGGGGAACAGGCAATTTGCTATCAGACGCGCTGAAGGATTTGAGAAGACAGCAGCTGGTGACCGCGATGAGGCTGTACCAGAGAGGAAAGGCTGGGTGGTATTCCAAACTAATCGATCAGTTTGCATAGATTTTGTTACATCCGCGTCCAAGACCACGTGTAACGCTCTGATAGCGCGAGAACGAATTTTGCTAGACGTGCGGAACTGAGATGGGCAGAGTCGGCTTTTCCTAGTGGTGTGGCTTCGACTCGACGTGGAAGACCGGAGCCGCCCCAACACCGGCCTCAGTAATAAAGTCAACCTTCTATTGCGCTTAATGAACTTCATTCGGCCTCGTTCTGTCACATCCCTCTTTCCCTCTTAAGAAACAAACACGGCTCACAACAATATCCCCCAACCGGCTTCTCATCGTTCCTGGCGAAGCACCGCTCGGCTTAGCCCTACCATCCTCTTCCAGCACGCCAGAGGTGCCCGAACCAGAACTTCCCAGCTTAAACTTTCGTCTCTTCCGGGCAAACTTTCGTCTCTTTTTGGCCCGCTATCGTCTTCTCCCTCCTCATGACCATCAGGCCTCCCGCGCTAATGGAGATAGGTTCACTTAGCTATATAATGGCGTACGCCTTCTCTTCTCCCAATGCTCTTCTCACAAAATAGCGACGAGCAAGGCCAAGGCGAAACACCAGAATCAAAAAGGATTATACGCGAGGTCCAATACCTAGCAAGACATGAATCTCCAACGCCCACCAACCGACGCCGAATGCGCCTCTTACTACAACGGCCTTCCCAGCCGACCCAGACTCGTAGCGCGGTCTAGCTTAACACCGTTCCCTTTTGAGCGCTTTACACGCTCTGCGATTGACGACGGTTTGTCGAATCGGAAAACCCTGGCCGTCGTCGGAGACCATCCCATTGTCAGCAAATGGAACAACGAACCTTCCCTGCTAAGGGGCCAAATAATGGATATTCTTACCCGGCATAACGTCGACTGGCACGCGATTGATATCATCCGCATAGGATACGAGGACGAAGACATGCCTGTCATTGTCTGGATCTCGGTCTCGGCGGGTACAACATGGGAGATGGGCAACCAAGTTGTCCACGACTGCAGAGATGCCCTTGTCGAGCACGGGCTTGACGATGTTCACTGCGAGATCAAGGAGGCTAGGCTGGTAAATGTTGTCAGATGGGGCTCAGCAGCGCATATGACGCCTTAGGTATAAAAGGCTGTCACGATGTGATATAAGGCGTTAGTGGTGTTGCTGCGACTAACGGCGTCGTTTTTAGGCAGACAAAGGCTTAGTTCAATGTGATAATTAAAAGTGCAGAAAGTGAAGTCCAATATATACGCAAATGAATATGAATACGTGATACAGCACCTGACAGAGCTGTTACAGAAGGTGGAAATACATAAAGCTATTGTGACAAGTCCCGCTTAGGTCCTACAGTAGGACGCCTAGGACCACCCTCTCCAGCATTAGCCACATATATACCAGCTTTTGATCAGCTAAGAACCGCCATCGTGAGCCCAGACAATAATAATAATAATAATAATAATAATAATATTTAACGCCCATCAGGTCTAGTCTATGTAGCACAAGGCGCCTACTTAGCCTATCTACTATTATTTACTAGCCTAGGATTCCTCTATAGAAGGGATCTTAGGTATAACAATGTCCCTCTCTAACAGTATAAATCCCTTATCTTAAGCCTATAAATTAGTGTTTTCCTCCTAAGAATATATATAAAGTTAAAAATACTAGGTAATAACTATATAGAGAGGTATAAAGTTAAGTTATAAAGTAGTAAAAAAGAAAGTAAAGGTTTAGTAAAGGTAAATATATATATAACTAAGAGTAAAAGTATAGCCTTATTAAAAGGTAAAAGGGGAAGTATAAGTAAGTATAGTAATAAAGATATATAAGGAGGACTTTAGCTAGCTAATAGTTAAAAGTAACCTATAGAGGTACTAGATTAACCTATAAGGCCTTTAGCTAAGCTAGTAATACTAAGCTTAAGTTATAAAGTAGCCTTACACTATAGGTCCTCTCTTTAAAGAGTTAACTAAAGATAGTAGTCTAGGCTATTATTTACTAAAGGCTAAGTGTATATATTAACCTCTAGGTGTTAGCTTATAAACTTAGCTTACTGCTTCTTAAGCTAGGCTTTTATACTAAGCTAAAGGAAGTAAAGCTAAGTGTTTTAGTAGTAAAGTAAGTACTTTAGGCTTTTTAAAGCCTTATAGTAGTAGTACTATTTAGTGTTATTATAAATAAAGTAGTTATAATATACTATATAGTTCTTATATTTAGTCTAAGTAGCTAAGAGAAAGTAAAGCTTATAGTAAAAAGTTTAAGCTTTAGGGGGGTTTAATAGTAGCCTTAAGGTCTTAGAGGCCCTATAGGTAATAGTACTTTAGGTAAAAAGTATACTACTAAGTAAAAAAAGTATAAGTAAAGTCTAAGTAAATATAGTACTTAATATAGTTAATTATAAAAAGGTATATATATAGGTCTAAGGATTTAATAGTTAAGCTATATTTAGTAAAGTAGTCTATAATATTATTACTATATATTTATATATAGCTAAAGGACTACTAAATATTTACTATAAAAGAAGACTCCTTAGCTAAGTACTAAAAGTTAAAAAAAGTAGATTATAAGAAGTTAGTAAAAGTACTATTAAGGTACTATATAATAGTATAGTTATCTAGGTAAATAAAGATATTAGTTATTTTTAGGTAATCTAAGGTAATCTAGAGGGCTATATAAAGGCTAGTATTAGCCTCTTCTACTTTAGTGTTAAAGACCTCTATATTTAGGAGTTAGTAGTAGCTAGTATATATAAAAGTAAGTCCTTAGAAGACAGTATATTTATAGCTAGTGTTATATAAGGTAGTCTATAAGCTATTAATATATACTAGTAGGTAAATAAAAAGTAAAAAAGCTACTTATATAGTATAGGTTATAGTAGCTTTTTTCTTACTAAGCTTAGTCCTTAGAAAGTAGTTATATATCTAAAAGAGAAGTTTAAAGTATAAGAAGTAAAGTAAGGTTTTTCTTATATTAATAAGGATAGTAAAGTAAAGTATAATACTTTACTATTCCTAGTTTACTTATATATATAGTCTAGTTATAAGTAAGTATAAGAGGTCTAAGGTCCTTAGTTAAAGTAAGTATTATAGCTAGTAGATATCTAGGAGTAGCTTAACTAGTAAGGTTATAGATTCTCTATAGAGTATAGACAAAGGTATAGTTTACTAGACTAGTAAGTAGCCCCTAATCCTTAAGTTAATAGCTAACTAGAGTTTTACTAGCTAGTCCTTTAGGCTAGTAGTAATATATTAGAAAGTATTATCTTTTTTCTTAGCTATAGCCTTAGTATAGCTAGGGTACTATAGTTCTAAGGTATAAAAGGCTTTTAGAATAATAATAGTATAAAGCGCTTTTTATATAGTAGCTAGAGGAGTACCTCTAATAACCTTATTAAGGCTATAGAGGTACCTTACTACTAAGTGTACTTTAGTAGTATAAGACTTAATATAAGTCTTAAATAAGAGGAAGTAGTTAAGCTATACCTTAAGCTAATATATAGTAGGTTCTAAGGTAATTAGTCTATAGTAGTACTTAATTAGGGGAAGTAAGTTATTATTAAGTTTATAGCTAAAGTATATTACTTTTATCTTAGCTAGGTTAAAAGTAATACTAATAAAGGCTTTATATTTAATAGTTATATTAAGTATAGACTAGGCTATAGTAGTAATAAGTTTAAAGGATTTTTTTATATAGAGGATAATATAGTTATTTATATATCTAAAGTAGATTAAGGCTAGGCCTATACTATAGATAAGCACTATATATAGTAGGTATAAGATAAGTAATATAAGGGATCTTTATAGAAGTCTATAGGATAAAGGGGATATAGGTATTCTTATTTTTTTATACTAAATAAATATTTAATAAAGGCTTATAAAGTGCTTAACCTATTTAATAATATTATATAGTTAGCCTTATTCCCTAAGGTAAAAGTTAAAGGTGTCTAGTAGAGTAGTATTAAAGGCTCTTTAGATATTATAGGTTATAAAGGTAGTAACCTCTTTATAAGTAAAAGTAGCCTTAATATTATATATAAAGGTAGCTATAATATTAACTATAGACCTCTTTAGTAATATACCCCTTACTTATAAGTAAAGGACACCTTACTAAACATAGGTCTAGGTAATTTTATAGGCTAAAAGGTATTTTAGCCTTTTACTAAGTATTAAGAAAAGTAATATAAGGCATTAGCCTTTAGTAGTACTAGTGTCCTAGTTTAGCTTAAGGATTATAATAGTCTTAGCTTAGTAAAAAAGTAAAAGGTAATACTTTATTTAGATATAGTGTTAGTATAGTTATATAATATACTAGCTAAGGTAAGGCTAAGTAGCCTTAAGTATATTAATAGTAACTTTATTTACCCCTAAGGAAGTATTATTTACTTTTAGTAAAGTAGTATAGTATTTCTTTATAGTAACCTTATTAGTCTAGGGGGGTATTTTATATAAAACTATAGGTATTATATAGCTAAAGTTATTTATATAGATATCTCTCTTAAAAAGTTTTATCCTAAGGAATAGTACTTTCTCTATTAGGTTAATAATAACTATATTATTTAGCCTCTATAGTAGTAGAAAAGTAAACTAAGTAAATAGCTTATCTTAGCTTATTATATAGTATAAGTCTTTATTTATCTCTATATTATATATCTAAGTCTACTATATAGTAAACTTAGCCTTATAAATAGTAAAGTAAAAAAGGTAGTAGGCTTTTTTAGTGTCTAGTAAAGTAAAGTCTTAGTTAGTAAGCTAGTAATATACTTTTTTTACTTTTTAGTAGTCTTTAGACTACTAGGGTATACCTTTACCTCTAGGTGTACTTTATATATTAGCCTTAGCTAAGGCTATCTAGAGGACTACACTAATAGTAAGTATAGTTTAATTAAGGTTATTATAAGAGTTAGTAAAAGTAAGTATAGTCTATACTATATCTTTTACTATAGCTAAGAACTCTAGGATTTATTTAGGTAAAAGACAAAGGTAGGCTCTTAGGTAAAAAGTATATAAGATATTAGTATAAAAAAGTATAGTAATTATAGTAGAGTAGTTAAATCTAGTATAGTACTATAGTATAACTTATAATAAGGTAAAGAAGATATTAGTTACTACTAGGTTAAAGGTGTTATTAGCCTAGTAAGTAAGTTCCTTAGGGGAGTTAAAGACTAGTAGGTTAGAACTAGTAAACTAGTTAGTAAGTTATACTACCTTATAATTTAGTTTAGCTCTAGGTTACTATAGGCAGTGTATAGTATTAAAGTCTCTAGCTACTAGAGTTCTCTATAGTAGTATTTACTACTCTAGGGAGTAAAGGGTTATTATAAAGGTAATATCTTAGTATATATTAAGGATATATATCTAGTATACTATAATACTTAGTAGGTCTTAGTTTAAGGTCTTAGTAATACCCTATAATTCTATAGCTAGTAGGTCCTTTTAGATATAAAAGAAGACATAAGGTTATATTTCTATACCTATCTATATATATACTAGTAAAAAAAAAGTAAAGTCTAGGTAAAACTTAGTAATATTTTATACTTTATCTAAGGAGCACTATAGTTCTTATATTAGTATAATGTTAGTATAGGCTACTAAGGTAAATATAAAAGTAGTATTATATACTACTTTAGATTTTTTAATATTAACTTAGAATACTTAAAAGGTTAGTATAGTTATAGGTATCTACTAGTTCTAGTGTTTTTTTATATAGCTATTCTTATAGCTATAGGGAATATAAGTTATATATCTAAGATTAAGGTCCCTAGGGTAAATATAAAGGTAGTGCCTTCTTCTAATAAAGGGTAGTCTAATAGTATAGTAATATTCTTTTTATTCTATAGTCTACTTACTAGGTTAGTGCTTAGTGTTACTAGAGGTAAGGTTATAAGGTTAGTAGTTTCTAGGGCTAAGGCTAAGGCTAAAGGCTTAGTGTATATAGTAGCTAAGGCTAGTAGGTTTATTAAAGTAGTAGCTTAGGCTACTTTATAAAGTGCTTAGCCTTATTATCTAATATATAGTTTCTTAGCTTTAGTAAAGTAATAATAAGAGCTATTTTTTATTTATAGTCTAGTAAAGTAAGTCTTAGCTATTAAGTTATAAAGGCTATAGTAGTTATAGTATTTAGTA